TTGATGGAACAGAATTGCCATGAGATCAAGTCCAACCAACATTACTCTATTTGAAGTAGTCAATCTAGGGAGTGAGTAAACTAATTTATAGTTTCCCATACATTTCTTTGTTTCTCCAGGGTCATCCATGCGTGAAAACTGGGAAACTATGGGAAACTACAAAGAGTTTACTCTCTAAGCTGCCAATGGCACCATAACTCAGAGATTGTGAGAACTGCTTTTAATTTGCAAGATGGTCAGCTGTATTTTGAAGTTTTTACTGATAAGTTCATTTATAGAGCGGATTTCATATGAGTGGGACACGGGTGTTACTGCACGGTTACCGCACAGTTACCGGACCTGGCCTGCACAATTTTGGTGAACCAATGGGGCACTTGAATTTGGTTACAGTACGATTACGGTCACAGTACAGTACCGTCTGTTTCCCACTCATACGAAATCCGCTCTAAGGCCATGATACATGTAGGTGCATTTTACCAGAGACGCAATGTTGACACATACATGTACATGTACTTGAAGCTTACCCAGTCAAAATTTAATTCAACCAGACAGTACAATTCTATGCCCAACAATAGAAGTTYTTTTGAATTTTTCCTCCTCTTGAAAGCAGGTTTTTATAATGTACTGTGATGGTTCAGTTACTTTCGGCAAATATCGATTCAATTCACAGCACATAAGACAGGAAACCCATTATACTGAACCTGATTTATTTACTGATCATTTCACTTACTTTCCCATATGTTTAAACTGAATCCATCAGTACTCAGACATACAACATGGAAACCTTCAGTCGGCTTGGTTGTCTCTCTGCGATCAGTTGACTCGGGTTGTGATAAAGCTGATAAGAAAACCGTCTTTCCAGCTCCTTCCAGACCGAGAACTAGAATTTTCTTTTCCGGTATTCCTGCTTCTTCGTCGCTCTCGTCAAAAGAGGACATATCGCTCGACTCTTTCGAWTTGTAGAAGCTATACGCTCCGTACGCGGTTGCAACAACCGCTACTCCACTCAGGACAAAAGCAACTTGTTCAGCCTTTCCAAGGTCTTGAAACCACTCTACTATCCTCATCTTACATATGTAGCCAAATTCAGAGTCAACACATTGGACTACAGAAAGGAAAATGTACAAGAAAGTCGAAATAATGTCCGAAAACTAAAAAGTATTGTAATAGATATTCCTACTAATCAATGCAAACAAATCGTCTGCGATGCTATTGAACAGCGGTCAGGAAGGAACTTCATGTCGGCTTTCATCGTGCTTTGAGCTAAATAGATGTCTTATTATGCTTTTATAGTATTCTCTACACGAAGTATATAGGCAGAGGAAAACCAAACATGGCGGCCAAGGTAAATCAATGTTTATTTTTTTTCCCCTTTTTTTCTTGTAAATTATCAGTGAATTAACTCATTTGCAGGCTAACTACAATAACGACTACAGCTCTGAATTCGACGAGCATGAAGTCAAGAGGTAWGTCAATCAGAATTGATACACCATTACAAAAACTTTCATTTGAGCTTTTACTTGTATGGATCTAGGACTTGGAGAGACGATGACACTTCCGGAATCAAAAGAAAAGCAAACTCAACCACTGGGTTACCCTCTAAAAAGTTTATGAATGACGAGTACAGCAGGTAATGATGTAAGCTGGAACTTGTGGATTGTTTCATTTCACCAAACTTTTGTAGTTGATAGAGATACCTCTATTCCATGTACTATAGATGAGGTGACGGTTTTGTCCGCCATCTTGGACCGGTAGGCATAGTGTCGCAAAATAACAAGGAATGACCGGGAAATCGATGTCAAATAATTCTCGCTGAATTCAAATTCAGAAAGAATTATCATTTGCAAACGTTAGATACTGCAAAAAGGAGTTAACTGGCCAAATTTGAAAGGCGTACTTGATCTAGAGAGCGAGTAAACTCATTTTTAGTTCTCCATACATTTCTTTGTAATTTCAATACATTTCGTTATAATTTCCGGGGTCATCAGTGCGTGACGCGCGTGAAAAATACAAAGAAATGTATTGAGAACTAAAAATAAATTTTCTCGCTCCCTAGACGAAGCACATCCTTCAAATTTGGCCAGTCAGCTCCTTTTTGTAGTATCTAACGTTTGCAATTGATAATTCTTTCTGAATTTGAATTCAGCGAGAATTATTTGACATCGATTTCCCGGTCATTCCTTGTTATTTTGCGACACCATGCCTACCGGTCCAAAATGGCGGACAAAACCGTCACCTCATCTATTGTGATGTTCTTGAGCCAATTAAACCACATATAAACACTGATTATCAGAAGGACGGCGGGAGTAGATTTGCGATTAGACTCGATGAAATAGCTCAATTTGACCATTGAAAAAAATCGTGCCGCAGCAAGAATGACCCGATCGGCTCAAAAATAGCCACAAAACATTGAACACCATGTCAATTATCCATCTACTGAAAGAGTCTGGTTTGGGATGTTTAATTCAGAAACGAAATATAGCGAAAAACGTATTTCTTTCCTCATTCACCTATTGAACATTATCAGAAGGACGGAGGGAGTAGATTTGCAATTAGACTCAATGAAAATAGCTCAATTTGACCATTGAAAAAAATCTTGCTGCAGCAAGAATGACCCGATCGGCTCAAAAATAGCCACAAAACATTGAACAGTCAATTATCCATCTACAGRAAGAGTCTGGTTTGGGATGTTTAACTCAGAGACGAAATATAGCGAAAAACGTATTTCTTTCCCCATCACCTCTAGTAATCTTGTCCTGATTACCCATGATTCATCGTCAGGCGTGAAGTCATCTATTCTTGTCCTCATTCACCTGTTGATCATTTATTCACTTATTCATCCATCCATCTATTTCTCGTCCATTCCATTCTTGAGTTGTTCCCTCCTACCCATCTATCCCATCCATCCTTCTACAAAATAATTCATACATCAATCATGAAGTCAAATTTTGCAACTAATTATAATTATAACAATGTTATAATTGTAATATCTTCTTAATTACAACATGATGACTTCATTATCTTAGCTGCACAACCATGATGGAACTGACTTTACAATTCATTTTCCAGAGCTGAAGGAGTAAACCAAAGATATCACTTCTTGGCCCTCGATGCCGTATCCTGAGAAACAAGTTAAAAATACATTAAAATGTCTAGTAGATACATACTGATAGAGTACAAACATTAAATGTGTGCAACACTTTCCACTATTTACTACAAAATAGTGTCAGTTAAACAATAGTTTCTGTCTTGCAAGACAAAAACACYTTCCCTCATGTCATAAAACACTACAAATTAAAATAAAGCCAGTATGTAGAGTACAAACACTAAAACTGTGCAACATAAATACCACTAAATACTGCTAAATTCTATATAATTCTATTGTTTTCTGGCTTTATTCTAATTTGTAGTCTAATTTTATGAACATGGAAGAAGCTGTTTTTGTCTTACAAGGCAGAGATCTTTTCTTTCTAAGACACATGTGTCTGGGCTTAAATTATTTAATGTTTTCTTTCTTTAACAATTTTTATCAGTATACTAGACACAAGAAGATGATAAATGATTATCTCCTGTTTTATGGACCAGGCATTGATACATTCAAAAGAGAAAGGTTTAATGAATTTATAGCCAACAAGCCAGGGTGGATACAAGATTTAATTCAAATGGGTGTGGGCTGTGGGGAGGTTGGCGGGGATTGCGAGGGTTGAAAGAAAGTYTTTTAGGTCAAATTGAATATACTTTATGTAATTAATTAGAATTTTATAAATTATACAGCAATATGCAGATCTGAATTATACAGCAATATTCTGATCTTTTTGACTCATATTCCAAGTATTCTTATCAGAATTTCTGCATATTGCTGTAAGTTAGTGAAGTCTGAAGTTAAAATTACTTCCTAATAATGCTTTAATTATGAAAGAACATTTTGATTATTTATAAATTCTCATGGAAATTCACCCAGTCCACTGTCTGTGTCCATCCCTGTCACAAAATCCAATATAGGGTGCATTTACCTCAAATTAAAATGTTATTTTTAGTAGTTTTGTCTTAGCAAACTAAGTCATTCCTTGATGTTCTTGCCACTGACTGTATATTTACATTCTTATTTTAAATGTCTGATTTGTCGATAGTTCTCAAGATAAAACAGATCTTGATGTGCTGAAACAAGAGCATAGGTAGGTACTATACCATACATCCTATACAATGTAGGTCATACCAATATTCAAAAATGGTGACAAATCACAAACTTGATGGAGTATGAAGCAATCAAGAAACGAATTCCATGAAAAGATAAAGCAATAAAATTTGTGTAGCTGCAGAATAAATGAGAGTATTTGTTTATAGAATAACCATAGCATTTAAACTATTCAAAATTTGGAAAAAATAGCAAAGAATTCATGGAGATTTTAAGCAGCGTCTACAAGAGCCCATACATTTTCTCTTATTTTTTGCAGCTTTGAAAAATTTGTTACATGTTAAGCATTTAACCAAATATGCTCAGTCTTGAAAATAACACTTAATATTCTAATTAATTGAAGTATAGTCTGTCATGTGACAAGGATAAGTTTTCTTTATATTGGACTTTGTTCATGATTGTTCCCAGTCTCAAAATGTTCAAAATGTCAAGTGTAGGCGTTGGTTTTCTCTTTTTGCAGTGTATTACAGTCAACTCTCGCTATTACGGAAGCCCTCGGGACCGTAATTTAGTGTCCATAGTGACGAGAGTTACTTCCAGTCATTTCTCTTTATTCTTCGCCGGGGATTCAGTATTTTACTGTCCGCAATATCGAGGTGTCCGTTGTAGCGGGGTGTCCGTTTTTGCGGGGTGTCCGTAAGTCGAGAGTTAACTGTATCATGACATTAAGATAATGTAGTGAGTATTTTGTCTGTCTGTCAGGTTTGTCTGGGACGACGAAGAAGAAACTGAAAGCAGCTGGTTAGTTGACATGAAAAAAATGTTGTCTCTGAAGAAATCCGTACTTCATTCTTACTACTGTTCCAAAGCAGTTGAGAAAAATGGTCAATTATCAATGTGCAACTTACACTGACTCCTTTACTGTTATTTAATTGTGTCAACAAGGGAAAAAAGATTAGCAAAAAAGTACTATGACAAGCTCTTCAAAGAGTACTGTATTGCAGATCTATCAAGATACAAAGAAAACAAGGTAAGCATAGGTTATTGCTTAAGTATTTGTACGAAATCCCCTTTATCTACGATCAACAWGACTGCGTTGATGTAGATGTAATGGCATTTCGACTTGAACTGCGAGCTGCATCGAACCCATAGTGTGATTAGCGTCCGCTGCATCTAAGTTCCCATAAAAACAAAACAACTCAAAACAACAACAACAACAACAACAACAACACGAAACTAATGAGACATGAATAGTAAGGGACGGTGCAATAATTATCAGGAGGGGGGAGCCGTAAAACCAGATTTCTTAAGCAGAAAATTAGTTAGAACCCCCCCTACGAAGCATACGAAAATAGCTCTTCCCCCCCACTGCTATATTAGAAATAACGTCGAACCTCCCCCCCCCTTCCGCCCTAACTATAACTTTATTAGTTATAAAACAGTCACAAGCGTGTCGAATCAACTATAGCAACGAAAAATTCACGAAAAAAAGACGAAACCAGTTACAAGAGGTGGCTTACTCATCTTGACCTAAGTGTAAAGACAAAAACTTTCAGGAGAAGCTGACACGGGGTTTGTTCTGCTAAATAACTGTTCTTGTATGAATTTGTTCCTGGGATTACATTGGCTACATTGTTGAAAAT